CATTGTATGTCTGTTTAGACGTTGTATTAGAATCCAGTTGACCTCACTGAGATGTGTGTGTTTAGATCACTCAGCCTCCCGTCCCAAGGGAACAGAATCATACGCCCTGTGAACTGAAGATCAGGTATCGGTTGTGGGTTTTGTAGAGGAGCTGACCCTCACCTTTCAACCCGTGACATCTCACCTGCCCTGACCTGCTTCAAACACCTTCCAAGGCCACGTTCACTCATATACTAATACTAACTCTGACCCCCTGAGAGCATGAAAGGTGAAAGAATGAGAATAAAACTAAATAAATCTGATTTCTACACTTTATGAAGGAAAGGGAAAAGTGTTTTCCAATGCAAAAGTTTATGCCAGTCTCTTCGTTTCTATGTCTGTACCATTGTACTGGGTAGCCCTACTCCTACCCAGTACAATCTACTCCAAGTAACTCTATATCCTGATCAGCTTAGATAGAGTGGAGCCATGCAGCCGTTTTAACCTCAGCCAAATTTAATGAGAGGAAAGAGATTTTACAGAACGTGTGAGAAACAGTGTGCTGTTTTTAAAGACTAAAGGTCCAGCAGGTTTTTTTTTAGTGGGACTAATTCCCTTTTAGTTCAAGTCTGGGCTAAATGCATAGAGAATGAGTCAATGCTGGCCACAGTGAGCATGACTAACTCACACTGGGTCAATAACTTGATCTCAGTGTCTGACTACACATAAATAAAGACAAATCTGTGAGTTTTGGCACTGTCTTTTATAGTAATGCTCTCTTTTTCCAGCCTTGTCTCTTTCCACCAAAAACAAAGAAAACTCAATGCCCTATGTGGAACAAACCTGAGAATCCTTGAATCAAAAATGTGGAACTAATCTTGATGGTACCAAATATAAAATTGTACCAGAAAATGCTGAGAATCAAAATAACATACGGTACAATTGGATACACTAAAATTATCAATATTTGCTATAAAAAATAAAAAAAAGCCCAAATAATCAATCCCCAAATAATATTCTTATTTGATAAATTTAAGACGGATTCCAAATTAGGAGAGCCTGGCTTAAACCATACTAGATGGTCTCCCAGACTAGCCAAGCTAGTTAAGCTAGTCTTGTTTTATAAAGTTTTTGGGCACTCCAGCCGATGACCATCTAGTTGAACAGTAAAACATCTTGGGAAAAGCTGGAAGACCAGCAAGACCATCCTAAACCAGATAAGATCAGCAAATCACCTTTTCCAGCAGGGATTCCATTAGAATCCATTAACATTCCTTTAGTAGTTCATGTAATTTTATCAAAACCAACAGAAGGACATCTACATGTGGCAATTCTTCCAGCATTCCACCACCAGCTCCTCCATTTCTCAGATTTCTATCTAATTAACTTCCATTCATATATTCCAGGGATGAAACTTAGAGCCCAAATCATGTCTAGCGCTTGAGTTTGTCTATTAGCCAAAACTCTTCATCAAGCATCATTTTCCTATAACATGAAAATGTGAACTTGCGAAAGAGTGTTTTGATCTACTGGTTTAGACACTGCAGAGTGAATTACCAAAACAAAAGGGGTTTGAATACAAATGGTGGCTGTTTTGAATGAGCTTCATAGATCTCTGAGAGGAACTAACCTACTAAAGCAATCACCATCAAGAGGAACGATCAAACCAGACTTTACGATGGTACACTTCAGTGATCAAAAGAGGTGTTATTAACAAGCACCATAATGAGCAAACCAGACCTGCATTTTATAGCAATGTATGTATCATATGAACAAGCTAAATATGATCCACGCTGCAAGTTAGCCCATATTATACTCTGAGCAAGAAAGATTTTACACATGAGCTTTGAAATGAATCCATATTCACCACATTCACACTTGAAGTGCCAAAGTTGTGATGACACATCTGTTGAGTGTGTTATAGCCAAAGAGGAAGTGAAAGGAAGACCCTGGGTGAGTGTTTGTGTGCTGGATAGTGACAGGCTGGTATAAAAGTGCTTTGGCAGGAGTCCTCATTATCTCATCGCAAAACAAACAGCAGCGTGTCGCCCAAGTGAGCTCCATTTCCCCCACAATAGACCCAACATCTGCCTGGCTACTGCTACTGTTCAGCTAGCCCTCTCACACACACTCCCTTCTCCACTAATTAACATCCTTTGCTTATTGTTACACATCTCACAAACACACCTCAGCATAAACAGGGCAAAAGGTACCGTGAGTAAGTGTGAAATGCAAATCTCACAACCCTCTTCAAAGCACCATTGCTAACAGAGGGCGTTAAGGAGGAGGGAGAAAGATGGGATGACAAAATGCATCCTGACTCTGCACCTTTGGTGTTTGTGTAATTAGCGGTTGGAGAGCTAAAGATAGATAGATGATAGATAGATAGATAGATAGATAGATAGATAGACCATCAGAACTGTTCAATCTACAACAGCTCAATTCTTCGAACTTTCATATCCCTTTGAAAGTCTGACTAATTGGTCAGCGTCTCAGAGTCAGTTCACTGTTACAGATGAAACTGGTGTTTGGTGTGTTACTGATCAATGAAGCTGCCGGTTGAGTACCTGAAAGACATCCGTTTCTCAGTCTGAAGACTCTGATGTCTTCTTGTCTTGTTGTTGTGCTTCTGGGCCTTCCAGTTCTCTCTGACTGTTAGTTAGATCCACTTTGCTTTTGTCTGTCAAGACAGTAGTGCACACTCACACATACACACATACACACACACACACACACACACAGAGAACAGCTTTCATATCTGAAAAAAAAACAAAAAACAGTAGATTGATGAGTTACTAGAGAAAGTGGTTTATAAGCATGAGCTAAGATAATCAAGTTTCTCTAACAATGGCAATTTGCCTTCACAGATAAAGATCAAATTTATAAGTAAATGAATAAAACATGTACATACATATAAAGGCATAGTATCAACTTAAAAGGCAAGTTTTGTTGAGAATGACCATGTATACAGTGGGTACGGAAAGTATTCAGACCCCCTTAAATTTTTCACTCTTTGTTATATTGCAGCCATTTGCTAAAATCATTTAAGTCCAGAGGAATGGGGACACTGTGCACACGCACACACACACACACACACACACACACAGAGAACAGCTTTCATATCTGAAAAAAAAACAAAAAAACAGTAGATTGATGAGTTACTAGAGAAAGTGGTTTATAAGCATGAGCTAAGATAATCAAGTTTCTCTAACAATGGCAATTTGCCTTCACAGATAAAGATCAAATTTATAAGTAAATGAATAAAACATGTACATACATATAAAGGCATAGTATCAACTTAAAAGGCAAGTTTTGTTGAGAATGACCATGTATCTGTATATATGGGGTTCTAGACACCCCAGTTATGTATGTGAAAATATAATCAGTGTACTTTTGAGATGAACCTCTTCTTTTCTTAAAATTCTTATAAAATATGCCTAATCAAAATCCAGTAGGCATAATGAAGCTGTATCCATCTGCTTTGCACAAAGTTAACACTTTTCAAAAAATGCAACTTCACTTGTAACAAAGTGCACTTTAGCATAATTTTAAAAAGAGTATTTATTGCAGAAATAATACACTTTTAAAGAATACACTCAATTTTGAACTGAATGTAATATTTTCAGACATTTAATTGCAGGTTATTTGCAATTGAAGAGTTAAATTACATTTATATTAAATGCAGCTAACTGAATCCAAGAGTGCTTTTTCTGACCCACTTAAGTACATCTTCATATGTAATTGAATAATTACTTCTATTGTCTTGCCATTTAATGTGGTTAAAATGTGCTGCCGAATGTACTGACAATTATTTATGGTAAACTCAAATATACTTTAATCTCATTTTTAATTGACACTTGTATATCATGTATTTAATGATGAACACAATCCACATTTGTAAGAATGATGTTGAAATGAAGTACATTTAAAATATATTAACTCAATATATCATATTTAATTATTTAATTATTAGTTATTAATAATTATTAGTTATTAGTAACTTAATAACATGCAACAGTTACAACTGCAAAACAAGCACTTTTGTGTTTTATATGTCTTTCAACACATCAAAAGCACGGTAAACAATTACTAAAACAATGATTTAAAATGTACTGTAAAGTAATACTTTTTAATTTAATGTTGTTACTTTTTTAAAAGTGTACTAAAGTGTTAGGAATAGATCATGAAAGTGTCCTCTCTTTAAGTAGTACAGACTACTTTTGTGGCCTTTTATTTAATATATTATCTGCAAGTTCAGTCTTTTATAAATTTACTTAAAAAGTATTTAAAGAACACTACAAGTACACATTCAATACAGTTAAGTGCACTTCTTTTTCACAAGAGCGTATCCATACTAGTAATGCTGCTACTGTTTAAGGGAAACTTACTGAAGTGCATCTTAACACTACTTTGTAAATTAAAATAGAGAAGCTATTAACCCCTGGGCTATCAAACAGAATAAAGGGGTTAAGGGTACTTTTATAATGCTTTTAAATTGTCTCTTAACTTAAGTTATCAAAAATCATCAAATGTATGTATGACCTAAGTCTGACAGACCTCCTTCTACTCTAATGATGCTGAATCGAATGATTCTTGTAACAGAGCGCCATCTTGTGATGAGGTTTATTATTTTGCATGTGGAATAAAAAAAATGAGTCTTTATCATATAAAAAGTGGTCTTTTTTTCTCTTTCTTTTAAACACTGATTTCAGAGCATTTTTTTTTTTTGGGATAACATTGATGTAATAAATAATAAGTATAGTAACGCGAATGATTAGATCTCTTTTTGACATCTATTTCAACCCGTCTATTGACATTTCTGTGAATAGACAGACTATGTTTGCTTCAAAACGGGAAGGATCATAATTGTGTTGCCAATAAAATCTCTAAATCCTAGTTGATTTATATACTTACGTGAGTATTTGTTGTTTGTAATATTGTGAAGTGTTAAGAGTTTATTTTAAAACGAATCTTTAGCAGCTTCAACTGTCGTAAACACTCTCTCGCGGATGTGTTTACGACAGCGTCCCTGCTTTTGCGCTCGGGAAACCCTTGTGCGGCCTCTCCGAACAGCGCTCGCGCACCGAAAGGTTCGTCCCTCAAGCGCTTTCTCCCTAATATACTCATTTAAAGATAATTTATGCTTAAATTAAACGATTATTGGTCGGTTTTTATTCCAGAATCATGCCAGCTAAAGGTCCCCTACAGTCTGTCCAGGTTTTTGGACGTAAAGTGAGTATTGAATCTCGCGCTCTCGCACGGCAGTGATAGCCGGCTATGCTAATAGATGTATGCAGTTGTAAAATTACTGAGATGCTAAGGTTTTATGTAGTTTATGTTATAAACGTAACATTTAGATGTCATAAACAACTGCATGTGCTTTTAAACTACGCAACATGTACAATAAGCCAGTGTTTCGTTTAGATTAACTGTGAGTGGTGAATATTGTGTTGGTAATTGCTGTTTTTGACACGTGGGACAGTACAATGCTTATATGTACAGCTTTAATTAATATAAAACGGTAGCTTTTGCATCTGATCTCCGTGTTTTCTGTTGCGAAATAGTTGATATTGATAAATATATTGGAGATAGTCCTCTTGTCTGTAATGCTAACTGTTAGACTGTACTTGTGTCTGGTAACGTTATAGCAATGGTTCCCAATCCTGGTCATAAGTACCTCAGTACTGCACACTTTGGGTCTCCTATATTTGTCACATCTGATTCAACTCTGTTTTGGGTAATGTTTTCCAGTACCAAGATTGAAGACTATCACTATACAGTATAGTTAGGGAGCAAGTTAATTTTGTCAGTATCTTGTAAAGAAACCTCTTAATAGTGTATCCTATGTAAGTTAGCTTAAATTGTGTAACAGCACAAATATCAAATATTGTTTCTGATTTATGGAGATGCGTTGGCTGATCTGCGTTTCTTCACTATCAACAGAAAACAGCCACTGCTGTTGCCCACTGCAAGAGGGGAAATGGACTTATTAAAGTCAATGGAAGACCTCTTGAGATGATTGAGCCTGCCACTCTGCAGTACAAGGTACATTTATTACAGAAAATACATATTCGTTCAGATCTCTAGTTGAGTATTCCCACATTAACGTAGATTGTTATTCTTCTGTGGAAAGCACATTTGTGTTTTTAAAGAATATTCATATTGCTTCTTTCAGTATAATAAAATGAATGAGGATTGGTGCTGTCAGTTTTCATTTTGACACAAATATGGTAGCTTTTTGTAAGAAACACAACAGTTTAAGCTTATGAAAAGCTTAACATCCTCCAGAGCACTTGCTGTGTTCATTACAGGAATGGTAATTTGCCACTTTTTAATGTATTGATTCAGTTAGCAAAAGTGGTCTAGTTTAATTTAGGAATCAAACCAGTCTAATTCTCAAACTCTATGATTTAACCTGGTGGCAAATTTAACAACCCACTGGAGGGGAAATTTATCGGTGAATATCTTTCTTGAAATGTAACTTGAATATAATTTGTCCTGTTTGTCAGACGTCAAAAGACTTTGAATATAGTGCATAGGTTGCATGGACCTCTGTAATATTTTATGTTGGTTTTGTGTCATTTTTGGAACAATTACAGAATGACATTTAATAAAATTATACTTTTGTGCTCTGCAGAAGAAAGTCATATTACAGGCATAAGGATGAGGAAATGTTTTGTGAACTGCTCTTTTAAAAGTCACATTGAAAGCAAAATAGACCATTCTAATTTTTGATGATTTTTATTGTAAAAACATCTCTTCAGTGGGTGACATGCACCAGATCCAATCAGTTCCTGATGGACAAAAGTCCCGCCCTACAATTTTTTCTTCTTCTTTTGTTCGTGAAGTTCTTCCACTCGGATGTAGGCCACACAACAGTGACCTGACTTTATGTAGTGATTGTATGTACCTGACTTACTTACTCCATTCATCAGGATGGAGTCCTTCAGCTGCATGTGAGATTTTGTTCATACGTCTACTAAAAGAATATGGTTTTGTTTCCTTTAGCTGCTGGAGCCTCTTCTGCTGTTGGGCAAGGAGCGCTTTGCTGGTGTTGACATCAGAGTTCGCGTGAAGGGTGGTGGACACGTCGCACAGATTTACGGTTAGTAACATAGATGTATAAGCCATTTGCTTTTGATTGTTTGCTATCATAAAAGTCGTTGTATGTAATAATTAGTAAAAATACATGGTTAGATTCTTCCTCAAGACTACAGTGTATAAATACTTCTGTTCTGACATTAACCTGTTTTATTCTTCTTGCAGCCATCCGTCAGGCCATCTCTAAAGCCCTGGTTGCCTATTATCAGAAATGTAAGCTTGGATCATTGTGGTTATGATGTTAAAGACATGCGTGTAAGCAACTGCAATAATTTTCCTATTTTTTTTTGCTTTTCCCAGACGTGGATGAGGCCTCCAAGAAAGAGATCAAGGATATCTTGATTCAGTACGATAGGACCCTGCTGGTCGCTGATCCCCGCCGCTGCGAGTCCAAGAAGTTTGGTGGACCTGGAGCTCGCGCCCGCTACCAGAAGTCCTACCGCTAAAATCTCTCTGTACATTTTCATATAATAAAACTGAGGGGGAAAACATTCTGTGGTCCTGAGTTGTGTTCTTAAAGAGTTGTGATGTGTTCTCTGTTCAGCGCCTTAATTGGTTTTAATTTCAACAGGATTTCAAACGGGTCCACAAGGTGTTGTATAATGTATAAACCATTATGTTTGTTGTGGACGTACCAGCTTCACTCAATCTAGTTATATAACTTACACTTGTTTGAAATGAGAGGGAAAACCTGCAGGAAATAAAATTACTGGTCAAGTCTTAGACTTTCTCTGTAATTGTATGCTAGTTTACAATTAATGTTACAGGTTGGCTGATTTGTGTTTTCATTGGTTATTTATAGTGAAATTATGATAGTAAAACTCAATGGAAGAAATGTCCTGCTTATATGCTGTGAAGGACAGGGATGTGAACTATATAATGCAACATAACAGCTCAGCACATGATTAATTCATATGCTTAATACTGAACCACATATTAGCATAATACTGCCATAGAAACAGAATGGTAAATATTACAGAAGGTGTTTCTGAATTCAACAACTTGTTTGGTAGAGTGCCTAATGGACTAACTTTAAACATGTTCTTATAGATGTTCCCAAAGCAGCGCCAACTACTGGTGATGGACGCTACATTAAAATAGTTTTTTAGTGTCTAACACAAGAGGGCAGAAATTTACTTTTTGAACAATGTAGTATAATGTTATAAGCAATTTGGAATTTATTGAGTGGAAGCGGTTGTTAAACAGTAACGTGGACATGTTTAATTCAGAAATATACGTTGGAAATGATTGGTAGCCTATTAGCAACTTTACATGGCCGCTCAACCTAGAGAAATGTGCGCTGTTCAAGTGTTTGTGCGGAGTGTGGAAGCTGAACAGTAGCTCACTGCATGACAGATGGAGGTGCCGGTGCGCTTACTTGATCTTAAAATACTCCGTAATTTTTGGTCATACAGATAAATGCAATACACCTTTCTAGACATGTGGGGGCGTGTTTAAACAAGGCGTTTTAGGAGGGAGTGGACGAGTCTTAACTTTTATAAATAATATCTCTTTGGGTTTGAGACTTTAGTCTTTGCAACTTTAGGGATCTTATCTATTCACGAACAGCTTGTAACACTCCAAAGAGAAAGGAAAACTTGAAATCGCATCATATGACCCCTTTAAAATATGAGAACTGATCACCTATGCTTAGGGTAGGGCTTGAGTTCAGAAAGAACAAATGCCCAGTATGAACAAATACTGGGTTTCATTCACTAAATGTGCATGAGCACGTATTTGTGTGTGAAATATGTGTACAAACGTTTTCAAGGGGGGAAAAAAATCATGATTAATCATAATTAAAGTTCACAGCAATGCGAACATGGCACATTGTAAAAATATAAAATATTAGAAATAGACTAACTACGTGATTCTACACAGGTTTTTATTACTTCTGAGTAACAAATATAGGCCTATATTTCACTAGTGAACTTTTCTACATACATACAGTAGAAACTCAAATTGTATGAAATTATTACTGAACTCATTTCCATTTTAGCTGAGAAGATGGTAAAAACCCAAGAGTCATTAGCTATGTTTCCTGAATTTAACTTATGCACAAAATTAGAATATCACATAAAACATTTGCAAATAAAGTTTCCATTCCATGGATTCAAAAGAACAAAATCAACAATTTCTGGGAAACTGGCACAAGCATCAATAATAAAAATGAAAGTTGCTGCAACCAGTTTTGCAACCAACCAAAAGTTGCTTATAGTCTGTGGCCCTTTTTCCTACATAATAAATGACTTGCAACAGACGAAACACAATAACAAACGCTGTCTTGTTATTTTGCGTTCGAATGCCTGATGTTTTGGAAGGCAATAGTGTGAGGCAGTTATGGGAGGTGATTATACCAAATCATTTTGATGACCGACTTTTGCTCAGACATTTCAATATAAATAAATTAACATTTGATATGATGGTTGCATGACCACATGATCTGTTAAGGCAAGACTTTTTTTGATGCGCAGGAGGAATTTATTTGGTAAATGTGTTTCCATCATTGTTTATGCACATGTTTTATCGAATGAAAAAAAATTATCGGACTCAATTGTGTGGACAAGTTTTTTATGCACATCTTTGCATTTCCATCCAGAGTTTTTTTTTTATGTGATATCCCAAAAATTGATTAAAAATAGTGGATGGAAACAGAGATATTGAAATATTGCACAGACATGGCGGATAACTTAATACGGATGCAAGAACTAATTTGTGTTGGTAGCTGCATGCAATATCCACTCCTCATGTTGCTGATGAGTCAGACTTAACCACAGAGTGCAAGTGATTCTGCTGAGCTTCCTGTACAAAGACATGAGAACTCTGCTGCTGTTGGAATGGGACAGAGGAAGTGCATGGACCAAAATGGATTGAGCCAAACTCAGGGAAAGATTCCATGGTAGTATCTCTTAGACAGAGAGAAACAGACAGAGAGAAACGATGCTGGTATGCTGGTATTCCTACAAGGAAAAACATGTTGGTCAAACCACACCAGGAGATTTATAATGAGGACAATAGGTGCCTTTCAGAGATATTTGCACTAATACAGGAGGAGGCAAATTCCTGTGTTTGGGCATTTTTACCCACTTCAAAGAGGAGCAGAGAAGGTCCACTCCTTTCTATTTACCTGGAGAGAGGAGATTGGTCAGACAAATACTGTAGACGGTTGCAGGCAGACAGATTGTATCTTGGGAATCTGTACACAACAGCATGACTCATACTGTAACTATAAGTAAGTATATCAACTGTAAGTATGAAACTTTTCACCTGGCTGGACAATAAAAAGATCCATGTTCAGAGATCATAATATTTAGAGGACTTTGAAGTTGGCTCTTTTTTATTTGAGCCAATGAGCAACCACCCTGTACTGCCTAGCAACAGCCCATCATTACCCTGGCATCATTTTGGCAAGTTTGGTACCTATAAGCACCATTCACATGTAAAACTATAGTTAATATTACTCAACATGATAAGAAGGCCAAGGTCTCCAAACTAAATACTTACAAACTTACCAATGACATATTTTACTAGTCATTACTCCTCAGGATGTTGCATTATTATTAGTAAAGATCTCAAGTTTTAATTTCTTTAGAAATTCATTGCAATTCATTTTAAGACATATTCCTAATGCATTTACTATCAAAGTGGCTTTATTGACAAGTTTAAAAAGCTGTACATTGCCAAAGCATTAGTAACATACACACGTTTAAACATATGCATGCAAATAAAAACATTATATATATACATCTATACAAATTTACAGTTTTTACAGTAAATATACAGTATATACAAATATACAGTATATACAAATATACAGTATATATAATTTTTATATGGTAATAGATGACACTGATGTAATACTAGAATGTATGTATATATATATATACACAAAACATGTTCTATGTCTTGCTTCTTTCTGTTTCGCAGTGCCATCTTTGTCATCTAGTATTACATCGGTGTCATCTATTACCACACCATTTTTTTTTTTTACCATTTTCCTCTTAGTATTAATCAACATAACACACAAAGACACACACACATGCACTTATTTGAGTGTTCTTAAACTGGTCTACTGAGGTTAGTGTAAGATATATCCCTGCAGCTTTCTCTGTGTCTTTGCATCTGCTTTCCGTCAATAACTGTTCTGAGAATCGTCCTCCTCCAGCGCTCCATCGCCTCCCACCCCCGCTCTGCTTTCTCACTGTGTTTTTATCTGTATCTAATATCTCTCTGGCTCTTATCAAGGCTGCTGTATCTCAGTTTTCTTGTCGATCATTATAACAGCCATCTTGTTGGACGAATACACACACTTGTGTTTACTAATGCAGCCCCTGTGTGTTTATTGAGAGATCAAGCAAAGCACTAGGCTTAAGTATTGATTTCAAGACATTTACATTACAGATAGAGCCTTCATTTGAGTACTTGAGAGGTGTGTGTCTGGTTTAGTCAGCTCTGGGCTTCATTTGCATCACTTGCTTACTACAGTACAACTTCAAGAGACACAAGATTTGTGGCTGATAATGGCCAGACCAGCTGACTTAATACATCTGACAAAATATGCTGTACAGAGCTTACTGTGTGGAATACTGTATCCCACAATGCATTGCACGTAACCTTCATTTTACAGTGTGAAAGAAGTGATATCAACAGCCTTGACTCATTATTGGATTGGGTTGCCAAAGCAAAGATGTGGTTACACTGTATTTTACAGTATATGTACTTAAAGTGTACTTACCCAAGAAAGTACTGGGTAGAATATGATAACTACATGGGGTTACACTTTATTTTAAGGTGTCCTTGTTACAGTGTAATTAATTATACATTATAAATAAACATATTAATTAACTACTTGTACTTACTATATGGGTAGTGTTAGGATTAGGGTTTGGTTTAGGGTTACTTGCATGTAATTATGCATAATTTATTGTTATTATAATAGTAAGTACATGTACCATGTGCAACAAGGACACCTTAAAATAAAGTGTTACCCAACATGAGTTAAGGTTAGGTTTAGGGGTAGGTTCAGGGTTAGTACCTAGTTATTACCCAGTTATTGTAATTGCTATAATAAGTACATAGTATATAGACCCGGAACAAGACTGTAAAATAAATTGCTACCAAATAAGTCATTAGATCATTCATTCAACTGATTCATTGTTGATTCATTCAGAAAAGAAAATCGGAATAGCTATAATGATAGCTATATTAGCATCCACATCAATGAACGATAACTTTTTATAAATGTGCACTGCAGTTACGTCATTTGCCGATTTAAATGCATAAGGTTTTTAAAGCCAGAATGATTCTGATCGGCTGCAATGTTTGTAATGTTCATCTCATGGATGAAAAAAAAAAACATTCTGAAAGTAATGATTTTGTTCTTCTGTATAGACTCCCATTCTATTCGATCGTTCTATAGAATTAGAACGATTAAAGTTTATAGCTACAGTTGTCATCCATGGTGTGAACAGCCCATAATACTCTTACTATTTCTTAAATATAAAGATATGGTAGTAGTGGTAGTAGTATGGTAGCATGCTAATGGATGAAAAAAAAAACATTCTGAAAGTAATGATTTTGTTCTTCTGTATAGACTCCCATTCTATTCGATCGTTCTATAGAATTAGAACGATTAAAGTTTATAGCTACAGTTGTCATCCATGGTGTGAACAGCCCATAATACTCTTACTATTTCTTAAATATAAAGATATGGTAGTAGTGGT